GCCGGAGTAGAAGGCGGGCCTGGGTTCCCCCCAAACCTCCCAATTGACCTGGACTGTGGGTTCTTCCTGAGGGGAAGGTCTCTGGGCTGTTCCCCAACCCACATGGTGAATCTCTGAGGCAAGAAAATCCGCCAATAAGCACAGGACCCACCAAGATAGAGGAGGAACTTTGTCACAACAGATAAGAATGTTTTATATTATAAGAATTGACATACAATCAGTGCAATGCTGTGGGCAAAACTGCTCCAAAGCAATTACTGCAGGACTGTGATTGCCATTAGGTGTATGTCCCTTTCAGCGACACCAGGAATGAATTCTTGTACATAGCGAAGAACTCTGGTCTACCAACGAAAGCTATTGAGGTACAAAAACACTGAATCAGTAGAAGCTCCTGTTAAAAAAGAGTTCTCAGGGATCCTCACTTGCAGTTCCAATTCAGTTTGTTCCACACCTCTTCCTGTCCAGCATGTGAACTATCAGTCTGGTTTCATCTGGCAAACATGCCCTCACTTTTCCTCTGCAAAAGATGCTGTCAGCAATGCAGGTCATTCGTCCCTGCTTTCACACCATTGACTTGGATTTACCAGTCTCACGTGTGTAAACTTATAGGCACTATGTATCAAGTCCCATTTGCTGGGATGTAGTTGAAGCCAGGCTAATTGGTATGAAAAACCTCTCTGCTTTCGTACCAAATACACAGGATATGAAGAAATCAGCTCTTTCCTGTTTGTTTTTTCTCCACAAACACCAAAAATAAACCCACTTCAGGGAAAGCGCTACAAAAACCCATTTCACTGAATGAAACACAGGACCCAGCAATACTCAGCAGGTATTGTCAGAATTGGGAGCTCTGGAAAATTTTAGTTTAGTTTATTGAGAACAAAGTCTCTTGTGGATTAAACCATTTTACCCTTGTAGTGACATTCCTATACAACACACCACTAGCGGTAACGTAGGGTCACAGAAATAGTCGCTTCATACAGCATTGTACAAACATTTATGAACTAACATCCCCAGCACTGCTGTGGAATAGCTACATATTATCCCTCATTGACAAATGGGGAAACTGAGGCACAGAAGCAAATGGACTTGCCTGATGCCACAGAGGGAGATAATGCGAGAACAAGGATTAGAATACAGGATTTCTTGATTAATCCAGTATTGTTGACCCCAAGAGTTCAAAATCATGCAATTTTTTCAAAAAAGTCTTTTTATTTTACCACATGTGCACTGTCCCCCAGATGGCGTCCCACACTACCTCCATGCCCCCAGACCCCTAGCAGGTTCCTGTCTCTGGCCTGCAGGGAGGGGGCTCCCTGCACTCTGGTAGGGGGCTGAGGCCACTACTCAGACAAAGAGGGCATGGAGGAAGAAGTTGTTTCTGCTGTGCTGAAACGTGCTCCTAGGCTCTGCCCCACACAGACACACGCACCCATACTAGGGACACAGGAATTGTGCCCCTGAATCATTGGGCTAACGCTGCATGCAATATTTGGGAAGACAGTTACTTCCGTATTCAAGGATGTGTGTGCTGTTAAACACTATTAGCAAGATGGAGCTTCTTCTTTAGGGCCAAAGCTGGCCCCATGTCCCCCTATGCTTTTTGGGGGCAAGAGGACACAGGGAGTGCAAGATTGTGAGCACTCAAGAGAACACAAGCTTAGAGGCCCAGGGTCTTTCCCCTCCAGCTCTCCATGGTTTCAAAAGAGTGTGTAGATCTGGAGCCTGGAGAAGCTCCAAGCTGCCTGCCCAACAGGCTGCTGTCTGCTCTGTGGAGTGGTAAAACAGGCCTACCGGGTAGAGTTAACTGTTTGTAGTAACTTTTGCGTGGTCAAAACCTCTCCACTGTTCTCCCACCCCTCTTAGCTCAGGCAGGAAAGGGCAGGAGTGAATTCTAGGATTGTCAGCGTATGTAACATGAACATTCCACTTCCAATTACACCAGCGAAAAATCATTCCAGTTTCTTCTCGGTGCTTGTTTCAGAAATCACTGTTACCCAAAGATCACTAATGAGCACCTCATGTCTTGGGTCAGAAAACTGAGGCCTGCTTACCATTATAGAATCCATGGTTCAGTAAGATGGGTGAGTTTGTTTTGACTTTTGCACACACAAATAATGCTTTTTCTCATTCCCTGTTGGAGATAAGGGGCTTACTATGTCTCACAGAGCTTGATTTTCTTTTACAGTAAAGACACTTCGTTGTCTCATCCTACAGGTTTCCAGTCAGAAGTAACAAGAAGCCCGAGATGCAATCCCCCATATCGTACGATTACTCTGAAGAAGAGCTCATGGCGAGTATTGAACGAGAGTACTGCCGCTGAGAGCCAGTGCTGTATGATCATAGCTGACAGTGGCACATGTGAGCAAGGGTTCTGCCAACAAAATAACCCCACACACAGTGAGATTGTTCTGAGGAAATGGAAAAGACGAGAATGAAATGAGAGAGAATGTTACCACTCAGGAGGCTGTTAGTATTGTAGGACTTCGAAGAATTCCTCTTTGGCAAGTGCTGAGCAAGAGCACTGATTAACGAAGGAACCCTCACTGACCAGTGAATAAAAGCAATGCGGTGGGGAAAAAATAAGATCTCATTACATTCCTCTTGTAAATTAATATTTAAAAGCCAGTTTCCAAGTAATACTTATGTATGAAGTCTTAAATGTATTGTAAGGTTGAGATGTGCCATTCTGACAGAGTGATTTCAGTCAGAGAAGTGCAGCAAATCATTTGAATAGATACTTACTTGATAGGATATATCCAAAATGTACCTTTCATGACACTTAGCTATGGGTCAAATTCAGGCCTACAGTAAGCAGATTGCAACTCTATACACCAGGTCTGAATTTGCCCCCCCCCCTTTTTTTTTTTTAAATATTCCACAATACAGAAAAAGGGAGGGAAGGGAATCAATCATTCCAAACTTAAGCTGCAGGATCTAACAGTTCAAATCCCAGTTCTCTGTCAAACAACAGGTGTGGGATTTGTTCTGATTGTGCATATGGCTCCGTTCCTTCTCGCTCCCCTTTTCCAAAGAGGCAGGGGATTGAAATTGTCAAGAGTCCGGTTTCCTTAAAGGGCAAGATTCTGGTCTAGTTTCTTACCTGGCTTACAGAAATGGAAGCTACAGGGAAATCACAAGGACAGAGTGACATGCACATACTGGTCCATTGCCACATGTATGCGCCTGTTGGGTCACCCACTTTGAGATGGGCTTTAACATGATTGAAGAGCAGTAGTTCACAAATCAGCACTCCCGCATTGGAGTTAGATATAAAATACCACTTCTGGCTTACACAAGAATTTTCATTAGTGCTTACATTTAAAATTCATCACATTCATCACTAAGGATGGAAAAGTAAAACAAAAAATCCTATAAACCCGAAGACTCAGAGGTTTTCAGCATGATTGACAGTGAAGCCTTGTACTTTTAAATTAAGGTTTGTCTTTTGGGGGGGAGGGGGGAGGCTGATATACTTGGAGTAGCTGCTTATTATCAGAATTAGAAAAAAAAAATTGTCTGTCCTCTGATGGAACATAACATGTCAGATGAAATCTCCAGGGCAAACGGATGAGGCACATGCTAATGGGAACAGTGGGATACATCTTAAGATTTCAAGATTTGACTTTTCCTTTGTACTTTGGTGTATATTTCACAAATATCTATGTTCCATGTAATTCTCAATAAAAGGCAAAAGTATCAGTTTGAGAGAGACAGGGTGATCAATCTTCTGTCCCTCCAACTTATTTTTTCATGGAGATATCCAGTAGGATTTTTAATGAGTTATCACTGAATATGATTTTTTCTTCCTAATGAGGCATCTAGTTTTATTTTTTCCTCCAGATTACATAATGAGGAACCTGTGGCTCTCTCCAGGTTGTCATGTTCTCCTAGCCAATGTGGCAGAGCACAGATGTCTACATACTGGTTCATAGTCCTCCCCTGCTCAGTGCTTCTTCAGCACACTGATAGCCTTTTAATGAATCTTCCAAGAATATGAAGACAGTAGAGGCAAAGTGCATCTATAAGGGGATGTGCACAATTCTAGAAGGATGGAGAGGATCATGCAGATAGCACAAAACCCCCTACTGACCAGTTTGGATAAGAAACAGTGTTCCAAAAGATGTCCTGCTCATGTAGTCAGATGGTGGGTATCATTGTGGTGTGAACCTTACATAGAGAAGGACAGAAAGGGTCCTGTTGGAGGTCTGGTGTGGTACCCAATCAGACGGAAGTTATACTTAGGGGTTTACATGAGGATGTTAGTGCTAATATGCTAAATAAGCTAAAATGTGACTTTAAAGTGCACTAGGTACTCAATTAGCTACTCCACACTAGCTCGCCATGTGGGGACACTGACTGCACACTAAGAGAGCCCTCAGGCAGTTTAGCCAAAGTGCATTATGCTCCTGAGCACAAAGGCACTCAATGCACAATATGAGTGTCTACACAGGGAGTTAATGAGTAGCTAGTGCGGGCTCCCCTCCACCCCCCACATGTGCGTACACCCTTAATAAGAGGGAAGGGGGGATGAAAAAAAGAAAGGTAGCCTTTCAGAAAGCCATGTAAGTTTAAAGCCTAGGGCTCCCAGCACACTGGTTCTTGAATAGCTTGGTATATCCAGAAATATCCTGCTGTCAGTCAAAAGATATATGTGCAGTTGTTGGGGGAGGTAGCGTAACATTAGGAGTAGAACCACACACAAAAATAGAAAATATGGTAATAACTAGTGCTTGAGTAGAAATGACATTCAATAATATTACCATGTCTGAAAATTACACAAAAGTAATTACATGAATTTATATGCCACGGTCAGTATTCTATTACATTGGCCAGAATTAAATTAAACAAAATTAATCTCCAATAACCTGCCATGATAGCAAGCAGAATTATATCAGAGTGAGAAGAATACATAGTGCATTTTTTGTAGAGAACGCAAAAAACATCTGAAAATTTCTAAATCTAGTAGCTGTACATACCCATGATGCTGCATGCATGGTGTGTCCCCTTTTTGTTCAGACACTAGCCAACTTTTAGATTTCTACGCTATCCAGGTTTCTTCCTTTAGATTGGGACTGTTCTTGGACACACAGGGCCAGATTCTAAGGGTACCCAGTATGTGATAGGTACAGATGGGGGGAGGAAGGCACAGAGGAACTGGTTGTGGCTTTCTGGTTCTGGGGCCTGGCCTACTTTAGGATGACCACCAAGCTACTTTAAACTGGCAGCTGGCTGTGGCCTCCAGCGTTCATTTTACCAGCCATGAATAGCTGGATGAAAGTCCCCCTCTGGTCATACCCCACTCCCCGCACTCTTCTGGGGAGGCTGGAGAAGGGTGGCACCCCTGTCAGTTGGGCACCGCTCAGGTGGAATCCCAGGCTGGAGAAATCTACCAACTTTCCAGACCCTTTGAGCTGCCAGACCCTCCTGTTATACTGTGTAGGCAGGGAGATCACAGCCTCCTTCAGTATCTGAGACCTCCTCCTGTTCCAGGCTCTGCCTCGCTGAAGTCAGAGTTCAGTTTCTCTCCCTGCAGCTCTATTCAGTAACTGCTCCAGTTAAGAACGCTTTTCAGGTTGTCTTAAAGGAAAGACTGTGTTTTGGCAGTTTTATAGAAAGAGAAAATATTAAAATAAAAGGCACGAAGAAATAGACATCCCTGACTGATTATTAGGAAAAGTACCTGGAGGCTGGCAGTAGGTCTAAGGACTGAACATTGAAATCTAACCTGCCTGGCAAGAAGATTTATTTTCTCCCCATTAGCATTTGTGAGGACATCATACTTTAGTCCAGTCTGTGACGGCCTGTTGTTCATAAGATGACAAAATTCATTCCTATTTTTAAAAAGCATCTCGTCTAGCCTGTTCCTAAACATATGGGACTGCACTGAGATACACCAGCTGAGTAGCTGGCCTGTCATTTCAGTCATTACCCTTCTACATGATATATACAGCCTAGTGTCCTGGAGCAGGGCACGGTATTTAGTGCAAAAAACACTCTCAGTTCTCTCCAAACAACAAAATATTTTCCACAATTTAGCATGGTATCTTCCCTCATCTAGAAGCAGCACGTAAATACTAAATTATACAAATACAGTATGTTCTGTACTTTGCACAAACTAACTACCTTATGTTTAGTGCCATGCTGGCTATTAGCCGTTCTACAAACAGCCACTCCTTAAAAAACACCAAACCAAACCACTGTTGGTCAGAGGGTTAAGGAAAGGGTCACATTTTCCATGGTTACCACTTAAATAGATTACCAGCTGCAGCCACTTAGCTTTCACTGAGCATGGTGTTAAAAAAAAAAAGTGAGCCTTCAGAGCATGCCATGCAAAACTAAAAAAAAAAAAAAAAAGGATCATAAGAGATTTTTATATAAATATTAACCAAAAGGCAAATATCTTGGCTTCTGACCGACCATCTGTCTCGTGAAAAGCAGTCATGTGCAGAGGACCGCAGACCAAAAAAAACTGAAGACATGGTCAGCAGCATGACAACCTAGCAGAAGGCAATTTGGAATTCACAAGATTTATTGATTGGTCTGTAAAAAGATTAACACTGAAATGGGAAGAAATTTAAAAGCCTGAAAAGAATTCTTAGAAGTTAGTTAACTAGGCCAAAATCTTCCAAAAACAGAACAAAAGCCACTTTTATGCATACTCCATTTGCATCTACTCAACTCCTGATTTACGTGCAAATTGGGGTTTTGCAAATGCAGAACTGCACCTTTGAAGATATAATGTACAGAAATATTTTTTCTTAGCTGCTGATTGTTTTCCATGACATTACTACCGTGATAGTAGCATACCTTGCCATTGAACAAGGAAAAGAAATAAAAAGGGTGTAGTCACAGTTGTAGCATTATAGCCTTTCCTGGAGCATGCACGTATCTGTACAGAAAGGAGCACAGAGACAGCAAGACCTTCAGAGAGGAAACCACTGATTGCTTTTATCTCCTGAAAACAACTAGAAAAAGTGGTTGCCTTTAGAGCAGTTTTAAGAAGGGAAATACCCTCTCATAGGCTGGCTATGGGCCAGCTGACCCTTTTACAGGGCTTTAAAAACTGGTTAGGGGGACAAACTCAGCTAGAAATTGAAGACTCAAAATGGGAGGAGCTGTGACTTAATGTGTAGGCAGGTGATGGGAAAGATTGATATGGAAATTGCCAAAAGCAAGCCATGAGGACCCACTTGCTTGTTACAAGCAGCAATATTTACTCTGTATTTATCTATATGCTTGGTGCGGCAATAAACAGTCTTTGTTGGCAAACTAAAGTGTGTCTTCTGTACTCTGTTAATCAAGACTCACAGCTCTAATAATACAGCCTACAGTACAACCTCGCAGCTTTCACTCAGGTAGGTTAATCAGATGAAGGCTTTTCACAGCTAGTCTCCCTGTCCTCCCATCACCTGGTTCTCCACCTCAGAACTTCCAAAGCAGAAATAAGGATTATAATACCTGAAATGACTTCCTGACACAGACTCCTCAGGTGTGCCTGTCTCCATCAGGGTGGAACTCTGTCCTGGTGTTGCTATGTTACAGAAGACAATTAGAAAGTAGGAAAATTTTGTTTTTCACTGAAACCACTGCCACCAGTGTAGATCCAGCTTGAGTAGGAGTACCCTACCCAGGGGTGGGCCCATAGATGCTGACTCCATGGGTGCTTCAGAAAGCAATGGGAGTCTTAACTAGGCGCTCGGGTAGGATGCTGGTTTAGAGTGCAGTTACACTTTGAAGAGTTCATATGTAAAAAGTGACACCTTTACTCAGCAGATCTGCTTCCTGGGAGCCTTTTCATCTCTACTGACCACAGTAACAAAAGTAGGTTTTAACTGTTTTTTAATAACTGCTGTTATTCATAGAATCAACAGACCAGAAGAGAGGGAGCTAAATTCTATTCCTTCTTGTGCGGCATCACTAGAATTGCTGAGTAAACTCCCATCAGCTGCACTCTTATGGAAATCTATTTATGGCACAGGTGTCCTTGAAGGCGTAGGTCAAAGACAGTGGTCTGTCATGCTGACCTAACCTTTGTAACAGGTGATTATGTATGAGATAGAAAAAGCCCAATTAGGTTGAGTTTGCGGTTAAGAAAACAAATTATCATTCTACTTGTAAATTGAGCACATTTGATAGAGAGAAATTACTGACACACAACAAACATGGAAGGCCTCATGTAAAGAAAAAAAAATACCTCAGTTCAGCTTAAAGAGTAAATTTTCACTTTCAGGAACATATTCCCTGAGGGGCACTCCTCAAGTTGCAGCTCAGGGAGCCCAAGTTACTGAGGTCTGAAATCTGGACCCTTAGATAAGGGTCTAGATAAGAAAGTTGCAGATTTAATTAAAGGTATGATTTTATATTATTTAGTTAAACTAGTGCAAACCTTCTTTGCTTTAAAAGTCACTTATTCCAGTTCAAACTAATTCATTAGCTGAC